CAATATTTCGAAATTTAAGGACGCTAATTTACTTAAAATGTATACACCCCGGCTTATCATGTAGCGGTAGCTTTCGGAAAGGTGGAAAACATATATTTAATACTTGCGCCGGGTATTTAATGTTCGGCTCCGCCCGAACTTAGACTTTCTTACTTGTTAGTTTTTCTCTCGGACGTCAGGTTTTTTTGTAAAGGACTTTCAAAAGAAAATTTCAACGATAAGATTAATTTCAAAATTAATGAAAAAAAATTCTGTAAAATTAGAAAAGATAAAATTTTTTGGTGCATAATGACGAATAGGTATTGACAATGTCCTTTTGAAATTTTACGCATAAATATTCTTAAAAAATTTGCAATATTTAGTTTAAAAAAAAAAAATTATATATCAAGGACTAATATACGCACGTGTACATCCTCGAATTTCGCCATTTTTACTTTATTAGCTAAAAAAAAAAAACGAATTAAAAAGGCATTTTCAATACCTATTCGTCCTCGTGAACCAAAATTTAATTGTTACATTCTAAAGAATTTTCTCTTTCATTTGGTTTCCATATTGTTACTCTACATTAATATAATACATAGAACGGCCAAACTTTTCCTCCGGTTTGTGGCATTCGCGTTGATGTTGTCACACAAAGGGGAGGGTCCTAAAGTTTTACGCCGACTCCTTTTTTCTATTCTACACGGCACTGATTTTTCAAATCTTTGAAAAATCAAATCCTTTTAAAAATCCCAACGACAAACTATGGGCCAGCAAACAATAAAAAGTGGCGAATTTTCGAAATCTTATCGGAACTGCTTAAAACTTGCTAAACGGAGTTTTTTGGGTCAGGATTACGAATCTGAAGTTAGTTTTTAAAAATTCAAAATGGCGGATCCATTATGGCGGATAATATTGTGAAAAGTAGTTGGATTGACTTGAAACTTATTACTCTATGATTTTTGGGCTCACTGATCACGAATTTAAAAATATGCTGACTGCTGTGTTGGTGGCCGTGCCGGTTGCCTCGTGTTTATCGTTGTGTATTGAGTTTATTGGCTTAGTTCATTGAAAACAGTTGAGCTGAAAATGTATTTTAGTAGAAAATAAAATTGTCTTCCATATGTTCATTTCATAACAGAGCATACACTACTGAGGTTGCCGCAATGGTTGCCTCATGTGTATTGAACAAGAAAAAAACAGATTGGCCCGACACGTTGCTTCAACGGTTGGCTCGTGTGTAGTCAGCATTAGATTTCAAAAATTTGAAATGGCAAATATGATACGGCCGGCATAAAAAATGCGCCTGTAGTCAGGGTACGTAAAACGTAGTTTCCGATGCCCGACAGGAGGAGGCTTAACTTCGAGTTTAGACTTCACTTTTTTATTTCTTTGGTATTTTTTTATATATTGTTTTGTTTTGTTTTTTTTTCATATTAATAATTTTTCCACCAATTCACTTCACTGTTTTATTTTTTTTTTTTGTATTTTGCATTTTTTTTTTTTTTTTTTTTT